ATAAAAGTGGCATTACCTCACCAGACCTCAACTGTGTCTGGACCCCTTATTGTAGTGCCCGATCCCATTCCTTTCTACCCCGGACCGCGGCACAGCAATGCCACAGCATTATATGTATACATTATAAACAACATAACTGTTTAATTTCCCCCTACCACCATCTATTCCCAGTGTTTCTCAGTTTATTTATCAAAACAGAATATATCTACGTCATAAAGCTTGTTCAAAGGCTTTGTATACACCAAAAGTTTAAAGCATAATTCTAAAGCATTATTTGTTTATCATTTAGCACACTGACACTTTCTGCACTAAGTTTTGACGTCAATGGATGTCCAGTCCCATCAATTTCTTTCTCTACTTACTTTAGCTTAAGTATTCTGTAGTTCTTTTTAACATCTTTTAAGCCGATCTTTTAAACTTCTTGTAGTTCTTTTAAGCATTTTCTAAACACCCTCTGATTCTAGCTTCTGAATGTATAAATAATCACTCCAAAAATAAGCATCTTTATAGCTGAAGTGCATGTTCATTCATTCGTGTGAGAATTCCCACATTCAAGTAACAACTGTTTAAAAACCGTTTTAAGATCATTCATTCTACTACCATCTTTATCCAAAACACAGTGCTGTCTCATTTTTTGTGTTCACATCCAAATTTAGCATCTTCTGGATTAAAAATACATAACAGAATAAAATTCAGTAACAAAACCACCCCTTATCCTTTTAATTTGCTGAGAGGTATATCCCATCTCTTATTGATACTATTGTTCCACAGTAAGCACAAATGCTCATCACCCTCAGACTCGCTGTATATCTTTTGACTTTATTAATGTGTAGATTCACATAGACCAGGACTACTTGGGTTTCTTTGCATGATGGTTCCTCCGTCGTTTGTTTTATCAATCAATAACTGCAACTACGACCTAACCTTATTCCTGATCCACCAGTTCTCCCTAGGGTACAACATGTAAACAGCTTGATGTAAAACATTTGTCTAAAAATAAACAGTACTCCAAAGTTTTGCAATGGAAAGGAGGAAAAAAGAGGGTTAATAAAATCTGACTAGTTTGAATACGTACTTCAAGGTTCTTCTCTTTGCAAGTTCTCTTTACTATTTAAAGATTTACTAAAGGATATATACCCCTAGGCCATTTTTCCTACAAAACATGAGCATGAGACTTCCTTAGGGACATGACTGTGTGAATTTATTTCATTTGAAGAGCATTAGAAAGACAAAAAAACAAAGAGAAAGTGTCAGGAATCTGACTCATAACAGGGACATAAAGATTAACCACTTTCACCTGTTTGCCTGACTAACAGAAGAAGAAAAAAGAGCCATGAATACTTTCGAGCAAAGTCTGTAAAGTTATTCAATATTTGAGTGGCAATGAGTAATCTGGGGAAACTACATCAGGTGAGGAAGTTCAGAAATATGCTATTTAATAAGCAAAAATAAAATGTGATACACAGTGCGCAACCAACAGACACGACAAAGTTTACCTATGATTATTACCATTTCGGTTGTAGTTCATGGAAAATATAAGGTATGGATGGAAGGCTGTTTGTTAGACATCAAAGTATTTCCCTTTGACAACTTGAAAGACACTTGTAATTTCATAGTTTTGTTCATATGTTTATGCCAACCCCATATGAGTAGACTAAGACATAGCCCACCAGTAAAATAATTATTTTATTTAATTCCTATGAGTAAGGTCCATAGAATTCCAGTAGAGAACCATTTTTTCTTCTCCTGGACGGAGAAGCAAGTCTAGACAATGTACAGAGTAAAGGTAACCTTTTTATGAACAAGAAGTTTCAATTAAAACTCAAAGACATTTTGTGTTCTTCTTATCGTGCAATAATCTAGAATATGTTCTTTGCCTCACTGACACATATCAAAAGTGCTCACAGGGAAACATGAAGATAAGAAGCTGTGAGAGCCTAACTAAATCAAACTGTTTAATTCTTTTACTTCAAGCTCAGGAAACCAATTTATTAATTAACTATATATACTGACAACGGCTACTTCTTCGGTGTAGCTTTTTTTAGGGGTAACTTTTGTTTACTGTACATTGACAAAATAATTATGAATGTGATAAGAACTAAGATAATCAAGACAGTTTTCCAGATTTCATTTTATAATACTGAAGTGTTCATACACCTTCATGCAGGAAAAATCCATGTATAGATAGCAAATATGCACATCTCTTACTGCAAAAAATATTTATGTACTACAATAAGAAAGGATCAAGTAATGTTAAAAAGTACATCAATGACTACACAATATATTTAAAAACTGAGATTTTAATTATTAAAAAGAATTGAAGACTTTATTTCAGTGACCGACATAACTGAAATAAAAACATATGAATAGCAAATAACCTAAAGTATTCTTTACCTTTCTTCCTCATAATTGCTTGATAGGTTGTACTGGATGGAAAGGTGATAAAAAACTTGAATCAATTTCTTGGGTGATACTGTTCTATGTAGTTACTGAGTGATCTCTGAAGTAGGTTTTGTTGGAATGTTCTGTCATTTATATTCATCTATGTAGCTGAAGAAAAGATAGAGCATCTAAACTATCAATTGTTCACATCAAATGATCAATTTAAATATTAATGCAGATTTTAAAATTACTAAGATTTATAATATGGCAAGGAAATGATGCAATTCTCCTCAAATTAGGTTATATACCTGCATTGTCCTAATCAATCAGAAGGTATTAAATGAAGAAGAGATAGCATACTGTCTATGTATTCATTGATTAAAACTATTTTATATGTACATATCCTCATCTTTTAGAACTTGTAACTAGACATTAAGCAGCCAGTATTCACTATTGATGATTTCATATATATCGCCATAAGAGATGCATTTCTAGAGTCTCAGAAATGATGGAAGTTTCATCTGTTCTATTCTACATGAAGATTTTTAGGCTTTTCTTCCTGCTGCCCTTCTCAGCAGATCAGTTCCTGGATAAAAATGAGTTGTCTCTTCTGTGTGCTTTAGAATGGTTTTTGTCTTTTTTTATCACTGAATACTGAGAGCAAAGTTGAGGCACCAAAGAGTTTTCAGTCCAGCTGTGGTGGAATAAATCAATATTTAAAATGCACAGTAATGATTTTTTTTCCTTTGAAAGTAGGACTTTGTGCCCTGAATTCTTGTAGTGTTAAAGCCAGAACTTTATCAACGTTAAACACAAACCCTAATATTAGTTTATACTCAGAAGCACTATTTCACAGAAAAACTAAACAAAACAGTAATATACTTCACTCATAAAGTAAATATAACAGTAATAAAATTGTTAATTAATGTTTGAGTTTTGTGTTTCTCTGGAGAAATTTTCAAGCTTGAGGGAAATGATTCCTACAATCTTGTTTCTTGATTTCACAAAGAGTTAGTATACCAAACTTTTGACAGCTCATGAGTACATGGGTAAAGCTGGCCAATGCAAACATTACTGGGGGAAAATACAATCTTTTTCATCATTTTCCTAGGGATAAATCTTCTTCTAAAATATTACTTTCTAAGGTACAGGTGATTTGCAGGTATTCTGTTTACTGCCAACATTTCATTCATGAGCTAGCTGTGATACGTAGTTTTGCCCCCATATCCCTCTCCCACTCTTCAGCATAAAGCTTTTAATTCTGTAATTATGTCCCAGATGCAGTGTATTGTGACACCCCTCCCAAGTGGGCAGATGTTCCTAAGCAGATTTTTTTCTGTCGAGAAAGGAACCTCCCTTGGGTTTAGCACTGTCAGACTGCATTAAAAGCAGATACAAAAGGTAAGAAGCAGATGTGTAGTGCTATTTCTGCTTGACACACTGTCCCTCTAGCCAATGTTTTCTACTGGTACAGCAACACTAAGCCAACAGGCTAATGAACGGAGCCTGCAGAATAAATCGTTAACCTGTAACCTTATCCAGTCTGCATGCAGTCTATTACGTCTCTACTCCTACGATTCGCATATTTGCATTTACTGCTGCTGATCCATTTGTCGTTTCACTTTATTTTGCTCCCAGTAATACAGAGTGATCTCAGAACCAAAATACCAAGGTGAAGAGACCTGCACTGGAGAGAGGAGAAGGAGACTGTGAGGGATAGTTCGTGACCTGCCGACTTACTTGCACGAGGAAGCATGAAGCATTTCTTTTCCTCTCTGCCTCTTCACACTGATGGCCCCAGCGCACAACTGCGTCACATGCAGGGGAGGGGGCGGCTTGGTGAGAGGAGCCGAGATAGACAGAAATTTGTACATACTGAGGACCTTGACAGCCTCACGGGCGGGATTTTTTTTTTCTTCCCTCCTACGTACAGTGTATATAAAAGAGCCCCGATTTCTCCCTGAGCCAGCTCTCAGGCTTTGCCATCCCAGATAACGGCAGGCATGGGACTCCCCAGAGAAATGGGATGGGAAGGTGGGAGGCAAAGAGAGGCTTCCAAGTGACTTTTTCATCTCTGGCTGCACTCGGTCACGGAGATCTCGGAGACTGAGGAAGTACCACCTGCCTCCCGCTGTTGCTGCTGCCGCCGCCGCCGCTCCTCTCTCGGCTGTAGGTCGCTCTCCCGTTAATCAGACTAGAGCGTTGTCGCAGCCTCCCTCACCCACACTTCCCTCGCAAGTGCATGTCTCCCCTGAGAGGTGTCTCTCATGTCTGCCTCTTTCTCCTCCCCTTTCCACTGATCTCCGTGCAATTCTCGTCAGCTCTGGACATCTCTCCCTCTCTCTCTTTCTCCCTTCCCTGCTGGGTGTCTCTACCTCCTCTTGGCTCTATCCATCCATCCTCTCTCTCTCTCTGCACGGGTGTGTGCGCGCATCTCTCTCCTCCCGGCGGCTGCCACCCCTCGCCCTACAAGCGCAGCGCTGCCCGGAGGAGCCGTCGCCGCCGCCGCTGCCGGGAGCGGGGCCGCCCCGCGATCCCGCCACCGTCGCCGCCTGGCCCTGCTTGGCCGCCGTGAGTCCCGCCTCAGCCCGCGCCCGTCCCCCGCCCGCCGCGGCACCATGTCCGGCTCCGGCAGGAAAGACTTCGACGTGAAGCACATCCTGCGCCTCCGCTGGAAACTGTTCAGCCACCCCTCGCCGGCGGGAGGCCCGGCGGGGGGCGGCTGCCTGCCGCCCGACAGCAGCTTCGAGCACTGGGGACCGAGCCAGAGCCGCCTGCTGAAGAGCCAGGAGAGAGGCAACGGCGTCTTCTGGAAGAAATCCGCCTCCTCCTCCTCGGCGGCCACCACGGCCAGCCCGCCCAACGGGACTCTGCTGCCCGCCGGCGGCCGGCCGGCCACGGGGCACGGGCCGGGACCGCCGCCGCCTCGCACCGTCTTCTACGTGGAGTCCCTGGAGGAGGAGGAGGCGGAGGCGGTGCCCGGCGGGATGGAGGTGGCCTGCGAGCCCGAGAAGCCCCTGGCGCCGCCGGAGCGCGAGGAGGCACCGGGGGGCTGCGCGGATGGAGGCGGCCGAGCAACAGGTGACGGATGCGGACACAGGTAGGACCGCGGCGCCTCCAGCGCCACCTGCGCGGTCGGTCCGCGGGGGGTCATCGCCCTCCGGCCGTGGGGGCGGGCCCGCGGCCGCGGGGGCATTGACGGGGCGGGGGCGCGGTCGGGCCGAGGTGCCGGCGTTGTGGCGGGAGGGCGCGGGGAGGTTGGGGGGCGGAAGGGAAGTTCCTCCGTTTGAACTGGCAGGGTTTAGGGGTGCAGGGGCGCCCTGCGGCGCGGGAAGGGCAGCTGGGGGGCTGCCCGAAGGTCCCGGGAGAGACCGGCCAGCCTCATGGCCAAGGTGCCGCTGTCCAGGGATGGTGCCTCTGGCCTTGCCCCCTGCCCCGGCCTGCGACTGCCCCTGACCTACCCCTGTCTCCGTCCCGGCTCCTGGGCTGTCCCTGCCCGCGAGGTGGCCCGAGAGCCGGCGCCCCGCGCTGGGGATCGTCGCTACCCAACTTTCTCAGAAGTTCATTAAAAGGCTAGCGGGGAGGTGATATTGTTCAGAGTATTGGGGGATGCCAGATGAAAGCTCAAAAGTAAAAACGTTCACTTTCCTGGAACTCGGTGACTAAACCGTGTTACAGCCTACATCAGAGAAAAATAAGAATTAGTTTTACAAATCATCAACCGAGTGACACCTGAGAAGATGTAAGAGCAAGCAAGACACATCCAAATTCTTGTGTTTCATACGAATCTGTTAATGTTGAATTGCTTTTCTTTGTCAATCCTGCCCTCCTCGCCCCCAGCTGAAAAAGAAATTAAAGTCATTAGAAGAAGGAAATGTAGCTAACACAGAGTTTTCAGAAACACTCTGATTCAGATAGTCCTGAGGGTAAAATGATTCATTGCTTTAACTCCGCTTGCCCCCACTTCCCCATGGTTAAAATTGCTTCAATTTAATTTCCCTTGACTTTTTTTTCTTTTAAACTATAGAAAAAAAATGTGCAGTTCTGTTTCTAAACAGAAATGAAGAAAAAATATTTGTATTCTTCATATTGAAAGTAAAACATAAAGTATTAAATATTTTATTAGATGGAGAGACAGCACTGTGCATATGTTTGGATTAATACAGTTGTAAATAAATGTACATTTACATGTAAATTTGAGTATTTTAAGCTTTTTCAGAGACCTCCCAAAGCATATATTCTCTCCTTGAATCTCTTTATTGTTTTGTTAGTTAGCATAGTTTATTTCATAGGAGCTACCTAATTTAAACATGTGGAATAGCTGATAAGTGACTTAGAGTATATTTTTAAAGGAAAAGCAATACTGAAGTTTTTATGAACATTGAAAATTATTTTGAGCAACAAGAAGGATTCAATACAAATTGTTATTGAGATACACTATAAAGACATAAAAAAACCCCCTAAAATATCCCTTCAAGGTTTTTGAACTGAATAGAAGAGGTTAAAACCTAGTACAAATATAATTTCATTCTATGGACTTTATATCAGTTGTGTCACTGATCTGAGAATCTGTAGAGATCTGCATACTGGCAGAAGCTTACTGAGTTTTGATGGCACTACTTGATTTGTCCATAAAGTTGACTAGCTAGAATGTGTGTACTCTGACAATATGTATCTGATTACTGCTCTTACTGCTTTTGATTTTGATAATCAATTTATTCCATGTTCTTCCTTCATTGCTACTGAAACAACACGTCTAGACATCGTAGTTCTTTTGAAGGAACATGCTAAAATTTGTTCAGATTTAAAATAACTAAGTCAGGAGAGACAATTTTATTGTTAATGAAAGTGCCTCCTTTCAAGATACGGAAATGTTTAGGATAGTTTTAGAGTCTAAGGCTTGCTTTTCTGTTTCTCCATCATAGAACCTGTACGAACTTTGAATGCTGTGACAAGAAGCAGTCAAGTGCTGCAAAAGCAGTGCTGTGCTTGAAAGTTCTGTGGGCCAACAATTTTCTACTGCCCTGTCAGGTTATGTCTCACTCCTTCTGTAGAGATTAGTCTTTTTATCAATGGTGCCAACTTCTTTATTTCACTGTGACTATAGAATATGTAAACTACTGTTCAGTCCTGAATGAAAGATACTATCATATACATAAACAGATGAGTAGGCATATACCTGGATTTTTTCACAGAGAGTGTAAAATTGATAACTCCTAAATTTCCATAGTATTTTGTCCTGCACATATTTAACAACTACTTTAATATTTTGGGACTGTTTGGAAAACAATATTTTTGTTATGTGAAAATGTTGAGAATTCAACATTTGATTATGATCCAATATAGACCATGTCGACATTATTTCAAATGTTGTGAACAGGAGGTCTCTGGGCAATATTAGCTAGGTTCCCAGTGGTAGGTCAAACTGAGGAGCAGGTTGACAAATTGGCTTTGATTTTATGCTTACGATTAATAACTTTTTGTTATATCTACTATTGATATGTATGCACAAGAGAAAACTACTTTATTTGTTTTATTGTCTACTTGGGATCTTGATATCCTTGTACCCCAAAGGAGTTTTGTTTGGTTTTTTGCTTGTCTGTTTTGTTTTTGTTTGTTTATTTTTGTTCTGTTTTGGTTTCTCTTTAATGTTTTGTTTGTTTGTTTTTATTTTTCCCAGTTGCTCCCCTCAGCTTGAATTTTGTACTGGAATCCTTTTTTCAGCTCATCTTATATGCAGAATTCCTGGTTTTGGCGTTTTTTTTGCATTTTTAGTTATTGTTTTCACATTTAAGTTAAACACTAAGCTGAATGATCTTGAAATCTTAATTTTAATTTTAATATTCTATTAGATATTGTGGGATTTATTTAATGAGAGATTGTGGCTGCATAATAATAAGCACATTCTGCTTTATTGATTTGGGGTTTTTGCATGCTTCTGAAGAACATCCTATCATGTCAATTGTGCAGGTACATATATGCTTAAGGTTATGTGGATAGTCCCATTGGCATTAAGAAGACTGAAGGGTTAGACCATGCACATTAAAAAGTACTTGCCTAATTGTTCTATATTCCATATTGTATCCATAAAAACAAAAAAAATATTTTAGAGTTAGCAATTAGTGTTTAAACACTGTTTGATTGTTTGAAATTGCTTGAAAACATGCATATCAAATTCGTTAGAGGTGGTCTGACAAAATTGTCAATAGCTGCAGTGGATAATTAAACAGATTCTGTTTTGATCTTCATTTTCTGGGACAAAGCTGTTAGGAAAAAAATCTGTAAAATGAATTTATAATTAAGATTTGTAAATCATCCACAAAATGCTTGGAAAACACCTGTTTGAAGATTTGCTATATAGCCATCAGCTATCCTCTCAGTTTATAATGGAGACCTTACATGATCACAATAGCTTTTTTTACGTGACGTGTCAATTAACCCTCAACATGAACGGTATTCACCTAATAAGCAAAGAGTCAGTATTTTAGTCCCTCCCTCCTCAGTGAATGGTAGCATGTTTTGCTTGATTTACATTGTCCAAATCCTGTGAAGATGTAATTACTCAGGAGCCCTCAGCACTGTTCGCCACTACACTCAGTATGTGCTTCACAGACTAGTAACAGGTTTATCTTTACAACAGCCCTATTTTACAATAGGGGGCAAACCAGAAAGAGAGATAAAAGTAAGAAAGAATTAATTGACTGGTTTCAGAGCATATAGCATTTTTCTTCTACTGCTTTCTATGTTCTCTGTTGTACCCATAAATTGTGAGCCCTTCTGCAAACCAGTCCCAGACTCCTCTGGTTGTGTGCAGGAAGAATGGGGAACATGGGATTCAATTAACATTTTCTTTAAGAGACAGCTCCAAGAGGGGTGTGCTAAGATATGCCTAACCCACATAAAGCAAGTACTGACGATACAGAATTCTTTCATAAAACATACAAGAATTTGAAAGTACAGCTTCTGAAAGAAGATGGCAAATCCTTCCACCATTAGCAACCGTAAAGGAAGAAGTGAAAGGGCTGAGTACTGTGCCCTCCTCACACAGCAGAGTCTCACACTCAAATTTTGCTTCACTAGAAAAAATCATGAGGAAAGCATCTTATGCTGTTTCTCTTGAGTTTGTCACCATGAAGTAAAAAATTCAGTATTAGTGGGAATCCAGAAGGTTAATAAGTGAGGGCATGATTTTGTAATTCAAACATTAACTGAGAAATTTAGTTTACAAGTCTCCATGGTCAAAACTATTTATTTAAATTAAATCATTATTTGATAAGAAATAATAACGATCAGAGTAGAATCAGAAACATAAAAATTTGCATGTGTAAAATATAGTATCAAAGCTTTTGTATAAGCAGTTCTTTTGTATCTTTCTGTTCTGAGCGCACAAATCCTGTTTTGATGGTTTTTTCCCATTAGTCTTTCCCACTTTCATGTCTTCCTTCTTTTCTCCTAGCAACCTACAACTTTGTGGTTAGCATACTGCTGTACAAAGTTACGAATTTGAAACCTGTCAGGATAAGCAACAATCTCAATGCAGCTTTCTAATTTAATGAGAAAATATTTTGGTCAATTCAGAAAATGTAGATAAAATTATCATCAAAATTTGCAATTTAAGTACTTAATGTACTGTTGCATATGTATCTAGACTCATGAGAGGATTTTGGTCTCTGGTTTCTAAGTGGGGCTTCCCATTTACAGCTTTGATCTTGGTACCTGAGCTTACAAAAAGAGAGGAATCAAGATACTTTCCTTATGCCTTAGTCTATCCTGTGAGCTCTTACATCTTTAAATATTTTCACCAATGATCATGGCTATGGCCTTTCTGAGATGCTATCCAAATTGGAACCATGGCTTCTGCTGTGATAGCCAGATCCTAAAATTAAGTACTAAAGAAGTAAAATTTATAGCTGCTTATGTTTTCCATTGACTTGGCTATCTCATATAGAAGGCTTTGTAAAGAATGTAATTTAATGCTCAGGGTGGAATATAGATCACACAACTCCACATTTCTAGGTTATGGAATCAGAAGAGAATAATTCATTTCTTTTTTGTCTTGATTATGAAACTTTTAACAATGGTTATATAACTTTTATGCTT